CTCTGTCTCAAAAATAAATGTTAAAAAAAAAAATTTTTTTTTAATGTGCGTAACAGTACTTATTTCATAGGGTGGTTATGAGCAGCAAAGATATAAACGACTTCAGTTAGGCATAATGTTAGTCTACCCTTTCAAGGCATTCTTTACTGTCCCTCTGCTGCAGTTATGTGTGTTCGTGTCCTAATTCTGGACTAAGTTCTTTAACGATCCCTGACAGTTATCTTTGTATCCCTCATCACTCAGTGCCTTGAGCAGAATAAATACCCATTAAAGACTTCAGTGGGATGTGACAATATTGAGCTATGCAGTCAGTATACCACAGTAATGTAATACCATTTGGTTGAAGACCAGAAGAGGGTAGAAGGTAAGTATAGGACAGGGTTAAGTATTCATTCTAGCAAATGTATGCCTATTGTGAGCTTAGCACTGGGGATTCAGCAGTGAAGAAGATCCAGACTAAAGTTCAAGGAGGTTCCTCAGGGAGCCTGGGTGGCTCAGTCGGTTAAGCGTCCGACTTCAGCTCCGGTCATGATCTCATGGTTCGTGGGTTCGAGCCTTGCGTCGGGCTCTGTGCTGACAGCTCAGAGCCTGGAGCCTTTTTTGGATTCTGTGTCTCCCTCTCTCTCTGACCCTCCCCTGTTCATGCTCTGTCTCTCTCTGTCTCAAAAATAAATAAACGTTAAAAAAAATTTTTTTAAGTTCAAGGAGCTTCTAATCTAGTAAGGGAGAGGACTTCGAGTTGTGGGCCAAGGTGGTGAATTACAAGGGGAAGGGAGGAGCTGGAAGCATGGCACAGGATAGTTGGGCAGGATAAGATAGATGGTGGTTAAGTTTGATTAGAAAATATAGAGCAAAAGGAGGACGTGGCAGTCTTCCTTTACCCCTAGCAGATCTTTTGAATTTCCTTCCTGAGAGCCTGCTTTTTTGGGGAAGACCTACAGTGCCAATAAGACTTGGCACTACTCTTCCTGTCATCCAGAGAAAATTGCCTTGCCTTTCTGCTCAAAATATTCCTTCTCTCCACTGTGTGACTCCATGTTTGCATCTTTCCTCCTCAGTGCATGCTTCCATTCAGTCTGTCTGTCAACGACACATACTACACGTTAGGCTCTCGGCTAGGCCCTGGGGCTGCAAAAAGGAACCTTGTTCTCAAGGGAGTCATGGACACAATCCAGTGAATGGACCATGACTAAACAGTGTGATCAGTGCTGTTCCCATGTGTGCCAACTCCAGGGTGCCAGCCTGAGGAGTTGAGGGAGGCGTCCCCTAGGCAGGGAGCCCACTAGAATCAAGTCTTGATTGGACAAGAGCTCTGTCACCCAAGAAAGAGGGAGGGTCTGCCTTCAAATGAATAGCTGGCATATAGTCCCAGAGCCTGTGAGCCAGAATATCCTGGACTCCACTCTTTCCCCATCTCCTTTCCCCTTTGGCCAAGATCCATTGGCCACACATTTCGCCAGCACCAGCTGCACCGCTGTGGCCACATTAAGATGTGGCCTGAGATGGAGGGAGAGTGAAGAAGCTTGCTACACCAATATGGCTGACCAAAGCTCTGGAAGCAGGAAGTGGGTAAGTGCCTTATCCAAAAGGATACAAAAACCTCAGTTCTTATCAGGAGACAGCAGCTTCCTTCCTCCTTCCTCCACCTCTGACCAAGTCACACTGGGCGATTACAATGTAGACAGTTGTGGGGGATGGGGGAGGAAGGGCTGTAAAACAGTTAGAATGGAGGCGTATGGATCAGTTAGTTCATGATTACCCCAAGCAGATAGGAATGGTGGCTCAGACTAGAATGGTGGTAGTGCAAATGTGAAGACTCAAGAGACATAGTTGAGAGGCAGAACCAACAGGACTTGGTGATAAACTACTCTCAGGAAAAGGGAGGAGTCATGGCTTTCAGCCATTAGCATCCACCCCCAGGGTGGCTTCACCCCCTTTCTGGCAATCCAAGAAACCATATGTATCCAGGGCTTATAGCCCTTTCCTCTGCCCACTGCTCAGCAAGTGAGTTCCAGTTTGATAAGAAAAGCTTTCCGGTGGTAGAGACTGAAAGGAAGAGGAAGAAGCTAGCCCATTCCTGCCTAAGAGGTGGTGGGAGAAGGAAGATGGCCAGAGCTGTGTGTCCACTTCATGCCCTCTGGCTTCTGGAGTGGGTGCAGCTGCTCTTGGGACCCGATGCTGTCCCTCCAGCCTGGGCCTTGAACCTGGACCCAGTGCAGCTCACCTTCTACACAGGCCCCAATGGCAGCCACTTTGGGTTTTCGCTGGACTTCTACAAGGACAGCCGTGGGAGGTGAGCCCGGGAGAAGTTTGGGTGTTGGGAGAGAGAAGGATTCTGTGCCCCCCTCACTGCTTCTGTGAACCTCAAGCTCCCCATTTGTGATAGAGGTTGAGCAAAGCGATTTCTAGGCTCTATTCAGACTGAGTTCTTTTTAGGAATACTGGCAGAACTGGCTCAGATAAGGGTGTCAGGGAGGGGCACCAAAGGGGAGGTGGGCACCAAAACTACAGCAAGAACAAAGGCAAAATTTGATGCCTTAATTTTCCCGCCAAGGGTCAGTTGTATGACCTACTCCACCCTCACCCCTTAAAATACATTTATTAAATTGACTTGCAAAACCGCGAAATTGTCTACCCACTCCACCTTGCTTTTCTACTCTATCCACCGCCATCCCCACCAAAAGTATAGATATTTTGAAAAGAAACAATAGAGCATTAATGGTTGGAATTAATCAGCTGCAAAATCAGACTTCCAAGATTAGAGTCCTGGTTCCTTGTCTTTATAGTCACTACCCTGCACTAGTTACTTATTGTGTGTAGTAGATGCTGTGATGCTCACCTTCGGGGAGTGGGGATGGCAGATGGCCTTCAAGTATCTGCCTCTTGGGGAATTTTCTCTGCTGAAGAGTCACCTCCCCCAAAGTCAAGTCCCCTTTCCAATGTGGCCTATAACCAATGACTGATCATGAGGAGTGTGGAAGGAGGAGAGAGGTGTAAGGGTCCGATGTTCTCACCTCAACTTGGGATGGTTCTGAAGGGTCCTTGTAGCTCCAGAGCTCCCAGGGTGCTGGCCTGTGACTGTCACTGGGCCTGAATCTGCATTTGACTCCTTTCTCTTCCCATTCTTGCTTCTTTCCCTTTGTTTCTACAGATATTGGCTTCATAGGTATTACTTAATAAACATCCTACGAGATGAAAGAAAAAAATTAATACTTTTTTTTTTTTTTAGTACTTGTTATGTGTTATTTGGCTGGCACCATGCAGAAATGTCCCTCATACATTTATTTCATTTACTTCTCCTGACATTGATTGGTAGGTATTGTCCCCAGTTTATACATGATAGAGCTATTATTTGAACCTAGATCAACTAAGGTCCTCAGCAATATCAGTACCTCACTTTAGAGGTGCCCAGTAGCCTCCCTAATTCTTCACCATTGAAACTACTTCTCAGGGGCGCCTGGGTGGCGCAGTCGGTTAAGCGTCCG